AGCAAATTGGCTGTTGATGAACCTTCTGTCTTTCACTGGGGAAAGCTAGCTCAGAAGGGATCGCTTCCAACGGTCGATGCACCAATTTGGTGGATTACCAATGGGAAGTTGTAGTAAGGACCTGTAACAAAGGTTTATTAACACGCTAGTACAAAGATCGACCATAATAATACATTCACAGGGTTTATATACACAACATGTGGGCGGTCCTCAGATACCGTATCGCCACTGGACCATAGGAGGCTCGTTGCGGTACTCAAAATCGGGGGGTGAAAGAGCGGACCGCGCCAACGGCAGAACTTAAGTTACCTACTTGATTGCACACTTACGATACCGCCAGGTCATGCCTGTGGTCTCAACTCAAGAGATACTCAAGTCAAGTTATGCCTATGGTTAATATGTTGAACTAGCATGTTATCCATCATTCTTGTAAAGGCTAGTTCTATTACAAACATATACATGGTTGTGAATCCACAACAGGCGGGCTAAGATAGAAACTTCATGACTCAGTTCAAAAACGTTCTAGAATGCGGAGAAAGTGGATAGGGAAGCTAAAAGGAAGGTCAAACTTTCATAGTGAGAGGTGTGCACCGAGGTGGACGGTGCTATGATCAACCACTAATGACTCTGTTCAAGTGAAATATATCGAGCGAATGCCCTTAAAGCGAACAAATCTAGACAGAGCTATCTCAGTATGATGCATCAAAAATTGCACTGAATGACTCCAGATGAGCGGTCGTGGATATGCATGCACGTGTTTGTGTGCATAGCCGAACTGATTATATATAAACCACAAATGCCAGTATGTCTGTTGGTCAGTTTGTCTCTTTATCTGTTTATCACCACCTTTCACATATGGTGCCTTCCTAAGATTAAAGTGGAACAGACTAGCCGGAATGAAACAAGTAGGGACCAGAGCCACTTGGGAACGCTTGATTTGAGTTAGTTTCCACCAACGATAAGATTGTCGTGCGATAAGACTGGTCTCAACGAAAGTACATGATTAGCGCTCCCGTGCAACAAAAGCGTTCAAATGTGATATGAGAAAAGGCGGCAGGATGGGAACGTTGAGATTAGGTAGTAGGTGGCAGAACTCGAGTCCGCTCACTCGGGGCAGAGCATGAACGAAAATTGCTGCTTCAGAGTAGACCGTTCTAATTTGGGATGAGAGCGGCAGACAATTTCACACGATAAGGAGGAGAGTTGGCGTTAGCCCACTGGGCGGTCATTTTCCTAGTTTTTTTTTTACAAAAAAGGTGAGTTATTTTCGCTGTTAATCGTGCACTTGATAATTTGTGCTAGTGATTTTGAATGTATGCATTAAATAAATGAATTAATGTATTTTAGAATACGTTTTTGCTTACTGCAGTCAGCTGTAACACATTATATAGCTCGTCCAAGCACCCCTTCTACGTTATTTTCTCGGTCTTTTTCTCTTCCTGCTCGGTTTATAATGCTATCTAAAAGCCTTTCATCTTCTTGGAAACACCAATTTTCGTGCTTTCTTTGCCTCCATCGCACTATTCTCCACCTTCCCTTTCATTTTTCGTCATTATCTAAACCCAAAATTATCGCGAAAAGGAAAAAAGCTCATTTCGTTATAAACTTGGATGCCTATAATTGTAATCCAAACGACTACGCCGGAACACTAACCTGCTCAACTAGCTGTCCCATCAAAAAAGATTACAACACAACAATATAGACAATGACCTTTTCACAGTCTAACAAAATTTTAATTGCACGTTAAGTATAAACTTCAGGGGCAAAAAGGCTTTAAAGGAATTCGGAAAAGCGAGGTAACCGAAAATTTATCCAAAAGCGCTTTCTTAGTTAAAAAAAAAGATGCGCTTATACATCGCTAGCAATTGTTCGTAACGGCTCTGCCCTTTCGTGGACTTCGGCAGGAATATCACCGCCAGTCATAAAGCAAAGGGTACAAAATTAAAAGGCAGTGCTATAAGCATAGTGAGAAATGATGAAGTAACAAACAGATAAACAATGAACGAGGCAAAACCCATGGTCCTATGATATCGATGGGATCACTTGACCTTGTCCGTTAAGAAAGTGGGAAAGAACCGGTTCTTAAGAACACCAGTCGGCTCGCCCGCCTAACGCAGGGCTCCTCTTCTCCTCGTGTTAAAATGTCCCGCCTGCATTTTCTTCTAGTTTGGAGTCTTCGGTAGATGAGAACAGGAGCTATTCATTTCCGGCCCAAACAAAAGCACCCTACACAATTATTGCGCGCCCCGTCCGCTTTGAACAAACCTCCATAGGTTCTGTGTGTTTGAGTAACTCGATATATTCAACCTTAGTTTCGAAATTTTGCTCCAAATCTAAATTAACTTCTTTTTGTCCACGCCTCACCTCCTGTGAGCGGAGTTAAGTCCTGCCGTTCGACATAGGTGCTCCCATGCTGCCGCCTGTACTTCTATCGCCTGTAATAATATGAGTGCTCTTGGTCCAAGTTAAAATTTATCGCACAAACCCCACCACATGTGGGTGGAGTCCGGTCTCGTGACCCACCATAAGCGTTGCTATCCTGCCGCCTGCACATCCATCAAATTTGAGCGCTCTAGGTGCATGGGGACCGCAGTTATGAATTTCCGGTCAAACACACGCACATATATATACACATATAAACACATACACACATACATATACCTTTACACAACACACATATACACACAACACACATACGCACACAGAAGACGCCTGATAAAAACAAAACAAAATGAAGAGACAAGCATAGTTAATTAACTGGCTTATATCAAGAATTAGTGGTTACCTAAAATGAAAGTGCACTAGGGCTCAGCCGATTACTTTTGGCCTCACTTCGTATACCACCACAGTGTCCGAACATTTGGTGGAAGCCAAAGTAGGGGCCGTGACCGTCGTCTCACAACTACCACTTGTTAACTTTTTGAAAAACACTTTAGAAGAACGAAGCTCAGCCACCCATAATTCCTTAGAAGTATGCAACGTACGAATCCGACTTCCATGACGCTTGGAAGCTCCGATGTCGCGCCCGAGGCGCTGGTGCCAGAGATCATCGAGTTTTATCAAATTCCGTTCCTAGAGGTAATCAGTCACTGACTACAAATGTCGCATCCAATTCGAGCAAAACAACTTCAAGGCATTCTGTGGCGCTTTTGAGAACGATGGATTCGATAATTACATTCAGCAATCGAATCGCTACAAAACCTACCAGCGAAAATCAAATTCGAGAAAAATTCAGCCCAATGTCGGAAAAGAAATACTAAAAATTAAATAAAGCCAATGTTCAAAACTCGGCATTTCTAACCTCTTAGTGACCTGGTCATGAACAGGGGAAAGAAATGGTTGAGGTGAAGAAAAAAATATATAAATGAAAGAAATAGCCCATCACTGATAAATCATAAAAATGCAGGCAAACACTTCACGATAATATGCCCTGAAATCCGGAGCCTATAGGTCTTTTTTCGATTGCTTCCAAATCTCAATGCACAACTCATACCTCCTGGATTGTAGGCTTAGCTCTGCCTGCAAGGTTGACAGAAATTTGACCTGGAACATCGTCGTCCTGCTGAAAGACTGATAATATCGAGAAATTTGTATACATTAAACGAGGGAGGAAACCGGTTGGATTACAAATACACATTGTATAGCAGCACTCACCTTAGAGGCATTATGCGAAGTGGTAGAGCTCTAAAACGAACAGGATTGAAACCGCGAAAGGCAGTAAAACTTTTCGTAATTATGTCGTACCCATGTGAAAACTCAAACAAACAAAACATCAAACAAAACGTAGTCCAAAATGATTACCTTCTAAAGAGCTTGAGCACTGAGTGAAGAATATAAATATTGCGATTCTTTCAAAGTATAACTCAAGTCAAAGAAAACACACACAAAAATCACATAATCATTTTGAATTCCATAAAACAGTTACGATTCAAGCCATAACTCTCACCTGAATACTCTCGAACAAATTAAAGAGCTTCGTCCGTTCAGCATGATTAAAAGTTGACACACCGGAACCGTCAGTGCTAATGTGTGCGGAAATTTGAAAATTCAGAAAATGAATGAATTATCGGGAACAATAAAAACAAAGGAAAATAAAAGGAAACATCAGCGGAAGTGAAAGCTGGAAGAGTTAAGAAGTGATTTCTAAGGAGAACAACTCACTCCAATAAGGTCGGGAACGATACTGGGAAATTTTGTTTTGAGATGCTCTTGATCAGCAATACCAGATGAGACATCATCATCGATCTGAAAAGATAAGAATGTCTGCACTATCGCGCAGTAACCCTTCCAACCAAAATCTATTCAATAAGTAAATTGATTCGTACCTCTGCGGAGAAAAAATGCGACTTGGGAGGATCGCCACTCATTCAGGCACCTAGGCTACTTCAGTTTATATTCAAACACATTACTCCCATAAGAGAAAGATTGAACTCCGTCGGACACTTATAAAAAAACGTCTTGAAAAATTCTAGTTTTGAGAGGAAAATGTTGAGGAAGACGCTCATAAGAGTAAAAGCGGAAAAGAGCCCAAAAAACAATCCCAGCGTCTAGCGGAACCAAGACTTAACAATGCTGCAATAGAAGTAAAACCACGATGGTTAACAACGTATGCCATGAGCAATACGGCCTACGGGCTACTAGAACTCGTTCCCTTTAATAGTGGCGGCCGCGGCTATTTTTCTGCCCTCGTCTGTCTCTCTCTAGTTTACCATGTTCTTTAACTGCTGAGCTTGTCTGATCAATGGGATCCTTAGCACCGACCCCGTGTCCTTCATCTCAGGTAATTTGGTCTGCGGTCTAACCTTTCACTGTTAGGGAAGCAGAGAAAGTTCAAATAAACACGTAATCCAATGGCAAAACGGTCGTGGAACGATACCGCGTACCAGTAATTCATTTTGAGTGTATGTTATTTGCTAGGCTCTTCGCAGCCACTTTGCCTTTGAAGTGCATGGGCTCCAATTGCCACCCATACAACGCAATTTCTGCGTCAACTAACTCATCCACATCACTCAGCCTCATAGTTTACGATCAGCTGTCGAACTACTACTTCGAGTTTCTTCGCACATGGGTGCGGACCCTGATTAGGAATGGAGATTCAGGGAACACCAAACTTTTCAGTCATCCCCATTAATCGAGGGTAAAAATGTAGGTGGGGTGTGCCACCTTTTCTGCTCTGCGTCTCTGACACCTGTAGGCAGAGTGCATAGAGACCACTAAAACTCACATCCGGTATATCCTCCGCAGCAGCCTTTTGAACTCTTCAAGGGAAGCGGGCGGTAGAGAGAGAGGTGTCTCCCAAATGGTATTCTATTACAGTGCGTTCCATAATTATAAGGTCACCCTCAAATTTCGCACCTTCATAAGAAGCAATCATTCAGAATTTTTTCTAGTATCATGAACGGATCCCCCACCACGAATAACCTAGGCATCCGTTTTTTAGTAGCAGCTGCAGTTTTCTGAACGTTTTTAGAACAGTTTATCGGTTTTTGCACCGTTTCATAATTATAAGG